AATATATAAGTATAACAATCAAATACAGATACACAGATTTTGTTTTGTTTGAAGTCTTTAAGATTTAAAATATAGATTGTTTTGTTTGCATTTTTTTATTTTCTTTTCTCTCTTAACTACTCACAAATATATATACACACACACGTACGGTGCGTTCATTTGTTGTCCAAAAAAGGGGTTGTAAATTTCCTCTATAGTTCACTTTATTTTGTTGTCAATATATATGTAAATGGTAGAAAAGGTAATCATCTATCTCAACAAAAGTCGATAAAAAAGATGATAAAGGGCGAAAAGGTGGGGAGAAGGTGTTGAAACTAATAAAAATAAATAGAGAGATTCTCTGTTCTATCGCAATTGAAACGTGCGCGCATTTCAATTCATACATTATTTATGCAGTTCAGACACTGTCCGAGCACTGTGCGTTTCTATTTCGCTTTTGGTCTAAAACGTGCGTCTCTGTGTTGAAAAAAACAAAAACACAATCAATATTCATTTTTCATCACTTAGATTTATGGGGTTCATGTTTGTTCATTTCTCACTAAAGTGAATTAGTAGGTCTACTCGAAAAAAAAGGTATCATAGATTGTTTTAGGTTCGCCTTTTTTGTATATATATATATTTTTTGTTGCATTGTACTCCTTTCTACTAAATCATAAATATGTATATAGTTATCAATACAAAAAATATTTAAAGTTTTTGCGCGTTGAAATTCGTCATTCAACCCATCTGAAAGCAAGTGTTCGGTTTTGTGAGTTGAAAGTGTGCCGTTTTTTCTTCTTTCTCTCACTTCCACCCCCTTTCGAAAAGTGAGACATTTTCGTCACATCACTTTTCGTAATATTTTGATAATCATATATCTTTTGCGCGTCTCATTTCACATGACATTTTGTTCACTGAAGCTTCACATTTTCTCACTCGTGTTTTAGCTTTTCGCATTTTAATCGTCTTAAGCAAATCGTGCTTTTGGCTTTTTGCCCATATTACACAGTAGATGTATAGATAGATAGATAGATTGATCACACAATGTTTTGAAAATTGAAAAATCTCCCTAAGTTAAATAAAATAATGCTCTGTTCATTTGGGCATAATGAAGCTACGCACGCATACATGTAGTTTTTGTATATGTGTGTGGTTGTTTTTCGAAATTTGAGTAATATTAGTTTGGTTTATGTTTGTGTATGTTTAGATGTGTTAAATCAGTGTTATTTGTATGCTTTGTTGTTTTTGTCGTATTTATGTCATGTTTCTTGATAAAACAAAACGAACAAGAAAAAAAATTCGTCGCAAAAAGATAACGACGTAAGAGATACTCTCAATTAACCTGTATTTTAGATAGTCTTCGCTAAATTTAAATTCACATTTTGTACTACGTAAACATTGGATTGAACGTACACACCATACACTCACATACACACAAACACACCCACACATTTACCAACATATGAATTAGCGTGGTGAATAAGCACCTTGAATTAGGCTATCCCTCCGTCTTAATAATATAATTTTGTGTTTTTTTTAGAGATGTATAGGCTCATACATGAGCTATGTGCTTTTAGCTACTTTTTTGGCAGCTAATTAGTGACAGCATTAAAAGTATTACGACTTTTCAATCAAAAATAATTATCCTTTCTCTTTTCGCTGTGATAGCGCCATGCTGCTATACAGCATTCATGCTTCTGCTTCTTTTTCTGCCCGTACCCATTGTAAGCGCGTTGTTTCGTTTTACAATATACTTGTGTACATACACATAGAAAAGACAATTTGAATAGAAAATGTTATCTTGTGATTTTCATGCATAAGCTTGAATTTATGCCGTGACGGATCATCGCAAATCACATTGTGTGCATATACAACTAGGCAACATATGTGCTTTGATATGTAATTTACATGCCACAAAAGCATATGTTGATGTCGATGTCAACGAAAAGCGAAGAAAAAAGAAGAAGCTGACATCGGCAACGAAATCAACATATTCGTTGCGTATAGTAAATTTGTCTATGTTCAGCTTTTGAAAGGATTTTGATTTTGTGAAAATACTTGAATGTCATGAAGAAACACTCACACACACTTTTCTAATTATATCTATGTAAATGAAACTAATATTATCGCACGGAAATTATATGCGATTACAGTCAGTGAAAAGAGATAAAGTGAGTGGGAAAAAAACTTAACGAGCAATTTCTCAATTGATATATAGCTCATGTGTGGTGGAGGGGTTCGGTAAGTGTGTAAAATTCTTCACTCAACATCATTGATTTAAAATCCATAATAAAACGTGTAATTTTAAAATCGTTGTTCTACACTTGAATCTTTCATATCTGCATAATATGCTTATTACACCAATGTCTACATCATATATCAAACTCATGTAACTCTTGATGGTGTTGATGGATTTAATGGCAAAGCATTCATTTATGATTTTTCTCGCTATCTCTATGACTGAGAATACGTGTGCTTTTGTAGCGTCAATTCGTGCAGTTACACTTACCGTCTCTAACAAAATGAGCAGAATTTTTTTTAATGTCAAGTTCCGATTTCCAGCCACGTATGAGGGATTCATAAACCTTACAGCCAATATCTCAGTGTGCTTCGTACACACACAATGAAGTGTTCGTTTTATGAGAAATTATGGAGGAATGAGAAAAGTTCGTGGACGGACGGTTTTCCTGCTTTCATTGAGAATAACAGTAAAACACACTGCAGCAAAATGTTTTTGTGATGTGAGTGTGCCCAAGTGAATGTAACACATGTTTGTGTGAGTGTGCGTGTGTGTTTATGTTATGTATTATACATGCATGTGTCACGAACAAATTTTTGATACGTATCAAAAAATTTGTTTGTTAAATATATATCCACTATGTTTGTTGTGTATGTGTCTCGCTCTCTCTTCAATCCCCGCCGTTATTATTTCACGATGCGCCCGAACCGCGACCATAATAGAAAACAAAAATTAGGTAATAAAACTGCGACCAAGAAAGGTGAAGCGAGAGTGAGTACAAACAGTACAAAAATGAAATCAGTGGATAATGCTCTTTGTTTATATTATGTACATTCTTGTATATATTTTGAGTTATTACTAGCACCATTGGCTTACAGTAATTTCATTATTTCATTTTCATGTTTCTGTTAACAACCCATATCGCAATTTTGTTATTTTGTCGTCACGGTGTGTGTGTGCATGTGTCACATCGGTTGGTCTGTAAGCTTTTCTAATGCACTAACGCATCCAATTTCATGTTCGAATGCAAATTCCAATTTGCCAACGACCAACCGAATGCAACAGGAACAAACAAACACATTATACAAAAATAACAACAACAAAAATCCGTTGCGAACATGTGTTGTAAACGTATCCAATAAATCGAAAAATAGCATCAAAATGATGTAATTTTTCGTTCGTCGATCTATTTTTAAAATGGATCCTTATCTGATCTCCCTATTCCTATCTCGATTACATTATATAATGTAATTTAATATATTCTTGTTGAGGGCAGTGTGTGTACGTGCATAAATAATGCATAAAATCTGCTTGTTTTCGTTTGTTTGATTTTCTCTTCATATCTCATGTTCACCACCTTTTTATATGTTTTCACTCTCTATATCGCTCAGTTATTCAATCTCTTCCACTCGTTCGTACTTTGGAATTTGTTGTTGTTTATTTTGTTCACTTACCATATCGCATTCACACACACATACACACACACACACACACACACACAAACACACACATTTATATTTGTTATTGCTCTTTCACTCTCTTCATCACTCTCTTTCTCTCATACACGCTCTTATAAAATCATCGTTCTTCAAGTGTATAGAAATATATGTATATTTATATAAATATAAAGTAAAAATGTTTTTTCTTCATCTCGGTATTTCTTATTTTTCTTCAATAATCTCGTTCATCTCCATGGCATTGAATCGTGTCGATGTAGAGGCAGTGACATTGGCATGCCCATACCGATGCATTTGATTTTGTGTATTTTCACAGCTCAATAACGGCTCATCATATCAGAAAAATATAAATATCGCTTTTTATTTACATTTATCATATTTTACTCTCTTTTATTTTCCCTTATTCTCATACACTCCAGCCATTTGCATCATTTTTTTTCCATTTTCAATAATATGTAAGTGTTTTTTTGTAATTGTTGATTATGTGTGGCTCTCTTCTACATTCGAGAGCATCGTTTTATTTGTGGATTTGACTTGTGTTCGTGTACGGTTGCGAGTATGTTTTGTTGTTGTGCTTTGGCTTTTGTGCTGATTTGTATCATCATTTCGACAACCATTCAAATTCAATCCCTTTGAGCATTCATAATAGCATAACTGATAGTCATATTCACACATTCTCTCTCTCTCACTCACTCACGTTATCTATCTCGTATAGATTTATTTTGATTTGTCTGTTATAGTTATGGTTGTTGTTGTTGCCTTTTTATTTTTATTTTTTATCTATCATATATTGTCAGCATATCTACATAGAATTTTGTGACTGTTTCCTTCATGCATCAATTTCCCATTATCGTGCCCGTCACTCACCGCACATTTATTCAATATTCACATTCAACCACATGGAATGTCTTTTTTTATTTGTTGCATGTTTGTATGTCTCTATTTTCTTTCATTCCTATATTTTTTCTCTGCGCCCTGAATTCCTTCTAAGGAATTTTGAAAATTCGATTTTTATTCACTTTTCACAGTTTTGTCACATTTCATCTGTGGCGTATTCTTGTTTTTTTTTTTTCAATTATTTTTCTCCGATTTGACTCACTCCGAAAAAGAAAAAAACAATTTTTATTCCGTTTTTTTTCTTCTTCGTTTTGTTCAATGCCATTTGAAAATGAACGCGTATCAACAAATATATATTTACTTTAAATTTTGTTGTTGTTATTTTTCATCAAGTTGATTTTTAGTAATAGCGTTACTTTTTTGTATTTTGTTGTTAAAATTCATGAAAATGTGTGTTTTTAAGCTATTTAAATTAATAAAATTTATACCGGAGTTTTTGGTAATTTTCGCCTTGTTGGTGACGATGGCGACTTATCGGCTGTTGTTTCCACATCTGAAGCGTTTCGTTTCGATTGATTTCGTGTGTATTGATGCGGAACAGAGACCAATTTTAATAATAGGTTTCGATCGCACCAGATCAATGTGTATTATTTTTCGTTCGTTTGTTTTGTCATCGCACGCGCGTGAGTGGGCGGCATTTGTTTATTCGGAGAGATTTTGTGAGCGAAACATAAAAAAATAAAGACGAAAAAAAGTACACGGGAATCAACATTGGTTTGTAAGATTAAATATTTCTATGTTTAATTATTTCTTTGATATATTTTTTGTGTAAGTATCTCTCTTAAAATTTGGAAAACATTGTTGTGTAACAACAGTCAATTATTCGAGAATATAATTTTCAATCGAATTTTCCAACAAGAAATACAAACTAATTGGTGCATGGCAAATATTTTGCCACGTGAAATTAAAATATTGAAACGAGCATATTGTACCTGGAACTAATCCGGATGATAAATCATCGACGTTTTTTCGAAGGTTGCTGTTTACACCACCTCCGCTTGAGCCCGGTGGTGCAGCCTCGTCCAATAAATCACACATACGAAAATCGGCTGCATGCTCAACGAGCAATTCAACCGTGTCCCCAGTTCGATCCATTATAGCACACACTTCTTCAAAACTTCGATCAACTAATGACATACCATTCCATTCCAAAACCTAAACATTCCCGGAGAGAAAGAGACGAAGAGATAGAAAGTAAGAAAACTCCAAATATATAGGAAAAATATAAAAGTTTTTTGAGGTGAAGCGAAAATAAACAAAGATACACAAATTGTATGAATGCGTTGTGTACATAAATGACGAACGATTTTCGAACGCCAAAAATTAGTAATTTAATGCAGGAAATTATATATACCTTATCTCCTTGTTGTAGACCCATCTTTTCGGCCGGTCCTCCAGGTACAGTCCATACGAGATACGCAAATAAACGACCATCCGTTCCAGTTTTACCACCAACAACACGCATTCCAAAGCCTCGAGCTGCACCGTCATCCAATCATTTGCAAATGGCAAATAAACATGGGGGGTGGCAGCAGAAGAAGATAAATAGATATAAATGAATATAAATACCACATGAATAAGAACGCATTTCCAATTTATAATCGCAACGCGAATGAAAAGCGGTAATATATTAAAAAAACACACAAAAATAAACCGAAGAGAAAAAAAAAATGTAAATAGCAATTTCAAAAATGCCATACTTCTGTGCGCCTTATCAGTTGGATCTCGTCGCAATGTGACTCGCCGTTTGGACGCAAGAAATGGTCCCGAATCGACGTCATGAATTATAATTTTGATTGCTTCACCATCTAATGAAGTTTGCCGCCGTGGTGCTTCCAAATCTTCTAAGGCTGGTGGCTGGAATGGCATTGCTGTTAATTGGTTTGTATTGGAGTTCGTAAGAGCTGCTCTATCTCGAATCGCACTAATATCCGGCCTAATAAAAATAAAACCATTTTCATAAGTTTGTTTAAATACATCTGAAATTTTCTTTGATTCGGTCTTTTTCCATTATTTCCCTCGAGAAAAAAAAAAACAAATAAACCGAATCAAATGGCACGAAATGCTATGAAGCTGTGGTTAAGGTGAATAAATGTAAAAACGAAATGATGCCACATACAATTGTGAGCCACGTCTTCGCACTCGACGATCCTCTTCAACGAATAGCGCGGAATCATTTTTTTCCGGACTGGGTGAATTCTCTTTATACATATTTGACTCTGGTGCGGTTCCACGGAACGATGATCTACGCGATGATGGAATACCAGCCGCTGAGTTTAGCACCGATGGTGCTAACACATCATAAGCGGATGCTCTATAGAAATATGGCAAAAAACAACAACAACAAAAGAAAAAAAATAAGCAGAAATAACAACACCAATCGAAAATACAAACAACATATAAAAAAACACGCTCATTTAATGTGAATTGTGACCTCAATGGAAATTGCCGTGTATTTCAGCATATATATACACATCATCGGTTGATTGCAGTTCAATCGATTTAACGAAATGACAAAATCAAATATACTATAGTATCGTACCTTCGCTGTATGTTTGGTAATTCTAATCCAGTGTCTTTATTGTTTACAGTTTCGGCTGTGGAAGCTTTGATATCGTCATCGTAACTGTGTTGCCTAGCTACAACTCTTGATTGTCTTCGCGATCCAGCTCTGGACAATGGTGCATTGAAATCGATACGCATTGATGGGCTTGCTGGTCGGCTTGGATTTGCGCTGCTTGGTTTATTCCAACCTGAATTGTCCTTGAACTGTATTGGTATATGCAATATGTCCATGGACATTGTCAATGTAAATAAAATGAATTAATCAAAGGCCTCTGCGCCAATCAAAAAACCAAAATATTTATAGAATACACAAGAGCCGCCACATATACAATGGTTTTGTGTATTTACATCAATAACAACAGCATAAAATGATAAAATAATATCGAGGCGCCAACCTTTTCTAATTCTCTAATTGATGCTGGTGAAACGTCGGAATGACGTCGAAGTTCGGGACTGCGCGGTGGTGCCAAACCACTGTTGCCACACGATAATTGTTGACTTGAGCCTAATTTCACCTCGGAATGTCTTCGCTGAATGGCTTCCATACATGGCACGTCAAGCGTCGAATCGGTCGAATCTTGTGGCAAACAGACGCGCGAAGCCATTTTTCGTCGACATACACTACAGCACCATGATATCTACAGAAATTGAACGGGATTATTTTTAGAGATAGTATATAGACTCGGTCTGATCTGTGACATTGAGAAGAAGAAAAAAAATGCCGCCACCACAGCAACAGCAGAAACAATTTGTTTTTTCTTCATGAATATTGCGTGTGCGTGTGCTCTAACCAAACCCCCACATTTCCATTTTCTGCACATATTCGCATCGCGCGCAAAATCTTCTCGGAATCTATCTATACATTTCTACTACCTAACGTATCTATATAAATATAGATCAAAAGAGCGATTCCAATATCAAAAAGAAGAAGAAGTAAAAAAAACTTACCGCATCTTCGCTATCGTCTAATTTGCTATAGCTGGCACAATCTTCGCACACTTTTTGTTGGCATTCGGCACAAATTTTACTAAAATCGTCCGGTTTAAATGATTTTAAGCAAACGCGGCACGTACCAGCACGACTTGGAGCTTTACCCGGTTCGGGTTTTTGTTGGCTACTATTACTACTACTAACTTGATTCGATTGATTTGATTGTGATTGTTGCTGTTGTTGTACTTGTTGCATCATACTCAAAGTCTCTGCGTCAGGAGTCATTGAAGGCCTAGGTGACACTTTTGTCACTATAAAATCCAACATCATCCATTGAAATCGTCATTAAATTTAGTTAGCGAAAATGGGATATGATTTTTTTTATTTCGTAATGCAAATGGAAACGGAAACGAAAATGTTTTAATAAGCAATTAGAAATCGTATGAGAAAAGAGAAAAAAAAACAATATTTCTCTTTTCACTGATTCAATTTATGAAATTATATGCAGGATGCATATCAATTTTACCTCTATCTTGAGCTGTTAGTAGGGAAGAAGACAGTGTTTGTCTGAGCCTATCAAAAGCCCCGGTATTGTCAATTTCGCTAGCTGGTGGATCTGTCACCATCTGTGTTTCAATAAGAAAACAAAAATTATCCTCATCCATCGCACACGATTTTCCAACATATTAATTATATATTATTATTATTATGTAGTTCATGATATTAATCTGCATTGTTGATTCATAGTAAATCTCTTGAGAGCTGGTTAATCTCCATTCAATTAGAATAAAAATGCGTTTAAGGCGTATGCATTCCAATAAAAATACATAATTTAGTATATGAAAGCGTACGCCTCTACTGTCTCGGTATTTCAATAATAGTAATATTGCCATCGGGCATGCTATATTGAAGTGTCGAGATGCGCCAAGATATTAGAGGCATACGCTTTCATATACTAAAATATGTATTTTTTTATTGAAAGGCGTACGCCTTTGACGCAATTTTATTCTCTAAGCTGGTAGTACTGCCTAATGAAAAGACACCAGACACAATGGTGTCATTCAATATAGCAAAATCAAACGGAGAAAAAACAACAACCCTAAAATTGGTACATTTTAACAAACAAAAAATGGATAAATTCGAGTGTATTAAATAAATTTTTGGATCGAAGGATTCTTTGTGATTACTAGCAGATAAATAAAATGGGATTATTTGCATATAAAGGCAGCAAAATATGAAATTTTATGTAGTTTTTCAAATGCTTTCAACATGCTTAACATTAATCCTTTTTTGTTGTTATGTTTTGGGCCAAATATTTGGTAGCACGTATTCTTTTTCTATAAAATATATATTGAAACCTCTATATATTTGATAAAAGCATCACATCAAAGGATAATGGATACTGTGTGCATCATCAATGTTCACGAGTATCAGACGATTTTATCGAGAACACCAACATTATAGAGTAATTAATATTTCAGCTTTAACAAATACAAACAAATCATAATCACTTTTGCTGATGTAACACATATGTGCATTGTTTGTTTTGATGGTGCATTCATTATAATATATATTTCTAATGGATGCTGACCGCCTCTTCCAACAAATGCAAACATATCATATTAATTCGATGGAAATATGTTTTTTGGGATAAAGATCGAGAACGCTTTTGGATCGCAATGGTTAAATATCAAACAGTATTTTACCTTTATATAACATACATAAATGGATGATCGTAAAATATGCGGATAGGCCCATTGGCAAGTATAATCAAGCATAAAATTTTAATCGGCTTTATTGAGTTTTCGTTTGTTCTCTTCGCCCGCACTCAGTCTTCGCATTGATGCGAATATGTGGGCTTATTCATAGCATAAGTGTATTTCAAGTGACTGCTAAAAGAGCCACTAATTTTTTTTATTGTTATTGATGTTATTGTTTTTGTGATCCACCCATCCACGTATATGTGATGCAATCCAATGCCTTTTGCACATTGTTCAACGTTCTTGATGTGTCATTTAAATTGAAATATGGCAATGCGTTATAAATCGAATGAATTGTATTTGCACACGATACTCTCGTATCCAGTCACATTTGCTATTTAAATGAATTAGGGTGTGAGTTTGCCCCTTGAAAAATCGAATGAATTCAAATCGCATCGCCTCGTTATCATATTTATTTATTTAAACGAAAATTTCAAGAATTTGGATTTTAAACTAAATTTCAAATCAAAATAAAAAAATTTAAAGCTGCAAAATGAAATGTTTGAAAATTTGAAATCATTTTCTTTGAAGATCAAATCGTGGAAAAAAATATTACCAAAACGTTGGTTTCATTTGTAAAACTTCTTATTCAACGTTTTGTGAATTCAACATACAGTTTTTTATTTGATTTATTTGTGCGAACAAACAATTTATGATTTCTTGATTTACAAATGAAATCGACGAGTGACAGTTTTATTGTTTATAACTTTTTTATGGAGTGTAAAATCTGTTGTTTTTGTTCATTCTTTTTTTTACTATTATGTTCCTTATCACTATCATCAATAACAAAATCATGATGATGGCAAGTAGCTCTTCAGAAGCATTGTTAATGACATAATAAATAATGCACTGTTTGCCAATTTGTTCGAGTGATAATGGATTGGACGAACAATATTGAACAATCATTCCATTCAAATCCTTTCAACCCTTATCCAGTACACATTTATTATATGTTTGAGTGCTTCGATTAAAAATATCAATTTAGTTTGTTTGAGAAAGCAAAATTGTCAGTGAAAAGCCAAACGTAATTACAGAGAGTATTCATGAATCTTTATATAAAAGTATACGTGTAATTAAATGAACAATGTTTTTCCATTTTCGAAACATTCATGGAAACATTCGTGTAATAAGTCATCATCATGATTTAATATCGAAAACATCAAAACTGGTAAAGAAAATAGTTTTTCCGCAACACTTTTAACCCACTCAACAAGAATAAGAACAATGGCGGATAAAAGAAGTGAATTTATGAATTTGTGTTACATTAACAATAATTGACGTTATAAAACAAATATACATACCTTTCGGAGGAAAGCGCCCACATTTGTAGGCAACATTTTTGTAAATTTGTGTTTAGTCTTTATTACTTAATAATTATTAAAACGTTCGGTGGCTTAACGCTTGCTCTCGGTTAACTTTCAATGAGGATAGTGTTGATTTCTAAAAAAAATTCGTCCTAAAATCGCATTTATTTCCAATCCAGTTGACGCTTATTTCCTTTTTTCGCCACACAATCGAGATGGATAGAGCGAGAAATCTGTGCGCATGAATGAAGAGAAATAAAAGAGAACATAATATGCGTGAGGGACAAAGTGGAAAATAAAATAATAACAATAATAATAAATATAGTGATTTGTACAACATTGAGAATATTTATGGATCATTACTAATGGCAATACGTTCATTATTTGATTATTACTCCCCATCAAAATTCATAATAATAAAAAGAACATAGTTTGCGTTTCGTGTGTGGAACACTTTGAAATTTCATATCGAAAATCTCTCCGTGTAGTCCATTCTCCCTCTCTCTCTCCCTCTCTCTCTCTCTCCTCTTCTTCCTCTTTATTTGTATAAATATATGTACGTAAGTGTGTATAATTCGACACAATCCTTCTAGATATTCCAATTAACTCAATCATAATGTTGTGTTATTGCGCTGTATGTGAGCCACGTCGTGCTTTTGCGTTTCATCTAGACGTCGACTCACAAACAAGCGCACATTTGGTAAATTAATGAAAATGGATCATGATGTTGTCAATATTATTGTATGCCAGTGTGCATCGTTTGTGCGCGCGATATTCATCATTCATTCGTAGTTGAAATGTGTTTTTCTCTTTGGTTTTTTTTTTGCTTCTTCTATCTTTTGAGGGCTAACAACTAGACTATCTGATATTGATATACACTGGATTTAATTGTTATGTAAAAATCGTTTACCATCAGACATCTAAAATAAATATGAACGGTGAAAATGCGACTCTTTCAAAGCTCCATTCCATCCTACGTGCCAATCAAAATTTACCAAACGATTGTTGTTTAATAGATGAATGATGAATAGAACTACCCGTCTCTTCAAAATTGAATATGATACATATGGTAAAAGAGCGAGTAATAAAATGGATCGATATTTGCCAGTTGATGAGATGAGACACCGCAATGTCGTGCACACATTTACCACCAACGGGAATACCATTTGCAAACGATTTACGAACACTTTGGTGGTTTTTGCTATACTGTATTGTTACTGTACACAAAAAAGGAAGCAGGCAAACGAATTGCGTGTACTTTCAAATTTTAACACCGAAATTATTGTACAATGTCAGCAGCGCAATAACAAAATGTCAGCAAATTTATCTGGATTGATTGGAATGTCAATGATGGTGGTAGATGCTACCATGACTAGATGGTTGCCAAGCTTCAAACAAATAAGCAATCCAGAACAATTGGTATATGGTATTTTTGCGATGTGTATGTGTGATCTTTTACTGAAAATTGTATTTTACCAGAAAATTCAATTGAAATCATTTCGAAAAACTTTAATTGGAACATTGGCACATACAGGATCACACAAGCTACACTTATTTCAAATATGAAATTATGTGTGCGATGGCATTTTGTTGCAGGATTGAAAACCATATCATTTCGCGAATTGTGCGCTTCATTTTGTACGGAAGTCGAGTGGAATTATTTTTACTTGAGATGGTTTATTTTTTCCTTCCCTTTTACTCTTCAACTCCTTTTATCTCACTACATAAAGCATTGAGTGTGAAATCGAATCCAAAATGTGCGAAGAACAAAAGCAATAACAACAACAACAAAACGAAAACGGAGAATCAGTGAGATTTCTAACGATATTTACTGGAACGTGCCAAATTGCTCTACAACGATGATGATGACGACGAACACAACGAAGTGAAGCCTTTCAAATCATCCGGCTGTGTGCGATTTCACGCGATACAAATCGTTTTTATGAAGTACTTGATGATTGAATTCCGATCGAAGCACAAATCTATCGCAAAAGCAGTGTGCTTTTGATTGTGTTGTGCTGTATTACTCTTGCAAGTTGTTATGACGATAGCAGTAACTGTGCCAAAGAGACACAGGAAATTAGAGAAAGAGAGTGAGAGCGAATCTGTTCTGATTTTGATGTCATCTTGAAGTGTCAATAAAATGGTGGAAAAATGGGCAAATAAATGAAGTTGTGATCAATGTAAACAGTAGCATTACTGGTGGCAAATCTTTTTCAACAAATCTCATTTCCACTCGCCTTCCAAATGGCACGAGACACGCAACACAAATTCATTGGCGAGATGTGTCTCTTGAAATTATTGTTATCGTTCGGATATTTTATTTTATTCTTTCGACTCTTTTTTTTTCAATCCATTTCTCTCTCTTTCTCGCACTCTTCTTCTATCTGAGGTCTTGTTTTCTGTATTTTTCTTTGTTTCCATGTCTCTTTTGCAACGTTTTTGCAGCGTGCACAGATCGGATTAACTGTTCGTTGCCATTTTATATGTCGCTGATAAGGTTTGAGCATTTGTTGGTTTTATGGTTTTTAATACGTGTACAGTACATGCCACGTTCTTATTCTTCATATTTGAACGCTTGCCTCGATAAATTCTAGTGTTGATGCGATCATACAAAAAAAAAATTAGACTGTGTGTATGTGTGAGCTGAGAAAGAAAGTACACAAAAAATATCCATTACATTAAATTGAAAACGATATTATATGCATCGCAGACGTTTACCAAATCAATTATCGCTTGAATAAATTAATTCCGGAAATACTTCAACCCATTTCATGGTTAGTACGTGTGACGCATACCTGATGTTCACGAAAACAATTCCGCTGTATAAACATACGGCCACATGAGTATATGGAAAAAGCACAGATGCAAACACACAATCACCCACATCGTCATAATCATCGTCACTCCACACAACTCCATCATCAATCGATTGGGTTGTTTGTTTTTGGGTCGGCGTATGTTTGGCGTTGTTGTACTGGACGGATTTGCTTGTCTTTCGGAAAAATTTCATGAAACATGTACAACTAGGAATAAAAATTTACAATCGAACATCAATCCGAAGTTCGGACGGCGAACTGAACGAAATGAAAACTCTTCGCATGAAAATCGAAACAAACAACAATTTTGAGTGCGATTTTATACACTTGAAATATACTCGAATCTACACATTACACACAAACATAGTTTTGTTTGTGATTTTAAGTGTTTTCAGACTTTGAATGTGCCTCATAAATATGGTAGTTTTAACAGCGTTGCGTGATTCATAATTTTTTAGGGTTAGCTAAAAAGCGCGTGTTTGAGCTCGAACATTAGTAACGGATACCTAAGCAAAAAATTAGCTACAAAATAATGAAAATACCGAGACATTTATGGGTGAATATAGCGCTAAAAATAACATCAAACGCACATTTTCGGGAACTCGAGCGTTTTCGACGACTGTTCAGAAGCAATAAACACTTCAAACCAATGATTAGTATACCTTCTTGAGCTTACATTTTTTTCTCGGTATTTTTGTGTGTGGGATCTTTTTTTTGTATTACTTTGCTAGGGGCTCAGATGTATTGTTTATTTAAGTTTAACCACGCATATTCCCAAATTAATTTTTATTCAAAGATATATAACTTTTTTTGCTTGCATTTTTTCGTATTCAATAATAACAACATTTATTAATAGAATTTTGTATTGTGCGTGTTTAGATCGCTGATGTATGCGAACTTGATAAAATCACAAATAACCACGTAAATTTTGGAATATTTGCCATATTCATACAAAACTGTATTTATTTGAAATTTTTTTTCAAGTTCCGAGCCCCTAGATAATGTGGTAGAAAAGAAAATATGCAAATGATAATAATCAGACGCAATGAAAAAAAACCTCTCTGAAAATGTCTAAGGCGATGCGAAAGTATTTGAAATTGTCAATTTAATTACTCAAAAAATGTGAGATAGACTGTGAAATGGCGTGCACATTTTGAGCGATACATTTACTTCATTTTTTTCTTACTTTTTTCCATTATTTTCATGTCACATTTTGTCAATGAAACAATACTCAGAGTACTGCATACTTTAACTAAACATTTGCGCCTTGTAATTTTAATGGAATAAAACATTTACTTGTTTTCATTGTTAAACTTTTCATTGTCACATAATACATCTCGTGGCAGTACCGAAGTGTGCCCGCCACAAAATACACACACAAATTGTAAATGAAAAGAAAAACCTTCACACATTTAAATAAGTCCGATTTTGGATAGAGAGATGTTCTTTGGAAACTCGTTTTACAATTGATTTTGCCAGTGAATGTGCTATTGTTGTTTGAATTTCATCTCCTTTTATTTGTTCTATAGGCCCGTTCGTCCTTTTATATTTCTATTTCTGTCTCTCTTTCTGTGTACTCTCTATTAGATGAGAGACTACACACAAACACTTTTATACTTTCGCATGCCATGTGATGCTTTTTTTTGCCGACAAGAAAGATAAAGAAGATGTTGATCAATAAATTTGTTTGCCTGAATAGAAGAAATATGTGAAAAATTTATTCATAAACCGAAATCCAACTTATTGGTTGGGGTTGGTTAGGGTGCGATTGAGTTTGTGAACTGAAAATTTGAAATAGAGCCAAATTGTCGTCATCTTACAGAGATATGAAGTTGATAATACACCTTACGTTCATAAAAAAAGATGAATAACAGGCGAGAAAAATGAGAACCACCTACTCATTGGTGCGTCGAGCATATACATACAATAAATTGAAATATAAGTGAAAATCCGCCAAAAAAAACAAACTCTCTCTAACTTTGTGCGTGCCACATTATATGTATGTACTGCTGGCTTCTCCGCTTGGGTATATTAAGCACAAAATGTATGATGAATGAGCCGAAAGCGATGGATGTTAAGCTCACACACATGATAACGAGACAAGCAAGCAAATAGAACGACGCACACACACACACAACCATTTTCGCATTGTGATGGAAATTTTTTGAAAAGTTTGCACGTTCCAACTAAATATTGAGAATATGATTATATCTCCATTGAAATGTTCCAGTACATATGCATACAGCAGAATGTCAATAATGATTTGAATGTTCACATTTACACACAAACACATACTCTTTTTCGGAGTGCGTATGAGAGAGAAAGATAGAGCGTATATGCGAACATGTGTTTAAGGATATGACACAGTAATTACACCGTGCGATTTATTCGATTGAGTTGAATTAAAACTATTT